CCCCCCCCCCGCTTGAGGCTGAGACTCCTTTACCTGCTTTTTCCTTTCAGATTGTGGGAAAGCTGATGCAGTTCTTCAGCAGTGTTTACAAAACTCCAAAAACAAAAGAAAAGGTATGTTACAAAACAAAGAAAGCATTGTGGAGTTTATTTWATGGCCCATAACTGTCAGCTAAATAGTCACCAAGTTAGTTCTTGAAAAAGATTAGATACCAACAGTGCCCTGTTTATGGAAGTTGTAAAACTGGGGGAGCTTAGCCAAGCCAGTCAGGTCTCCTATTAATGTGACTCCTTTCTCTTATTTAGATGAGAACATTTTTGAATCTTTGTAATTGGTTACACTTTTTATATATATTTTCTTTATCTTGTTTTTCTCTTCTCTCCTGTTTTAAAAAATTGTAACAGAAAAAACTGAAGTCTAATTACTAAATTAATGTAGCTGTTTGTTTCTTAAAACAATAAATTGTACAACTGTACAGTCATAGCTTTGCTACACATATCAAAAACAATGTATTTACAGATTCAGGGTTGTATTTGGTTTGTATTTTCAAGCTTTACATGGATGCAGTTGGTAGAGCTGTTGCCTCAAAAGTTGCCAGTTTGAATCAGCGGGGGACTTTGCATGTTTTCTCTGTGCATGCATAGGTTTTTTTCTGGGAACTCTGGTTTCCTTGCACAGACCAAACAAATGCATGTTAAGTTTATTAGTAATTCAAAATTTTCTGTAGTTTTGAGGGAGAGAGTGAATGGTATTCTAAAACTGATGTACTTGTGAGTGAGAGTGAATGGTTGTTTGTCTCGTTTGTCTCTATGTGTCCCCAGTGGTGGACAAAGTACTCAACTCTAGTACTTGAGTAAAAGTATTGATACTCAATGTCAAATCTACTCAACTACAAGTAAAAGTTACTATGTCAAAAGTCTAAAGTTAAAGTACTGAAGTGCTTACTTTTGAAAATGCTTAAGTATTCAAAAGTTCATGCATTTAAAAATACTCAAATATTCAAAAGTACAAATTAAAATGTCCATTATCAGTACATTGCTGTATTGTTTTTAGAGTGAATTTACAGAACCTGTAACTCTGTTTTGACACCTAGAACCACTCTGCTACAATGTCTACACCTGTAAAAACTTCAGCAAAAAAAATGCAATAAAGTGAAAGGTGAGTTCTTAAATGCAGAAATGTAGTTTAACCTTGGTGAACACAGAAGACAGTTAAACTGAAAGGAACTATTTTTCAGTCCTAAAATCTCAAACATCGAGCTGAGATATGGTCATGGGTGCATTGGTTTCTCTACTCTCTTCAACTGTCTCCATTACTGGGCTGTATTTGAAATGAAGGTGGAGCTCAGGCTCAGCTTGCAACAGTTAATGAAGATGATGTAATTCCAAATCWATCCCAGATGTGAGCTACAACTGTGACTGTTCCCCTTGTGAGGAAATAGTGTGGCATTTCAAGAAAGAAAAACAGCAACAGCTGATTACAAAGCTATGCTGAACCAAAAGTAACAAGTAACTAACAAGCTTCCTAGAAATATAGTGGAGTCAAAAGTACAACATTTGTCTTTGAAATGTAGTGAAGTGAAAGTATCCCAAAAAATACAGTTTGGTCCATTTGGACACTGACACAAATTTTGTCTTTATACCTGTTTACGGAAACATTATTCAAGTTATAGTTACATAATATACATGGACATAAAGTCCAGACATTCAGCTTTCATTTGAGGGTATCCACATTAAAATTGGATGAAGGGTTTAGGAGTTTCAGCTCCTTAACATGTGCCACCCTGTTTTTAAAGAGACCAAAAGTAATTGGAAAATTGACTCCAAGGCTGTTTCATGGACAGGTGTGGGCAAACCCTTCATTATGTCATTCTCAATGAAGCAGATAAAAGGCCTGGAGTTGATTTGAGGTGTGCTGCTTTCATTTGGAAGATTTTGCTGTGAAGTAAACATGCAGTCAAAGGAGCTCTCCATGCAGGTGAAACAAGCCATCCTTAAGCTTCAAAACCAGAAACAATCCATCCGAGAAATTGCTACAATATTAGGAGTGGCAAAATCTACAGTTTGGTACATCCTGAAACAGAAAGAAAGCACTGCTGAACTCATCAATGTAAAAAGACCTGGGCGCCCACAGAAGACAACAGTGGTGGATGATGGCAGAATAATCTCCATGGTGAAGAGAAACCCCTTCACAACAGCCAACCAAGTGAACAACTCTCCAGGAGGTAGAAGTATCAATATCCAAATCTACCATAAAGAGAAGACTGCATGAAAGTAAAAACAGAGGGTTCACTGCATGGTACAAGCCACTCATTAGACTCGAGAATAAAAAGGCTAGACTGGACTTAAAACATGTAAAAAAGCAGCAGAGTTCTGGAAGAACATTCTTTGGACAAATGAAACCAAGATCAACCTCTWCCAGAATGATGGAAAGAGAAAAGTCWGAAGGTGTGGTACAGCTCATGATCCAAAGCACCACATCATCTGTAAAACACAGCAGAGCAGTGTGATGGCTTGGGCATTCATGGCTGCCAGTGGCACCGGGTCACTAGTGTTTATTGATGATGTGACACAGGACAGAAGCAGCCGGATGACTTCTGAGGTATTCAGAGCCAAACTGTGTGCTCAGATCCAGMCRAATGCAGCCAAACTGATCGGTCGTCATTTCATACTACAGATGGACAATAACCCAAAACATAAAGCCAAAACAACCCAGGAGTTTATTAAAGCAAAGAAGTGGAATATTCTTGAATGGCCAAGTCAGTCACCAGATCTCAACCCAACTGAGCATTTCACTTGATAAAGACTAAACTTCAGACAGAAAGGCYYACAAACAAACAGCAACTGAAAACCACCACAGTGAAGGCCYGGAAGAGCATTAAAAAGGAGGAAACACAACATCTGGTGATGTCCATGAGTTCAAGACTTCAGGCAGTCATTGCCAACAAAGACTTYCCAACCAAGTACTAGAAATGAACATTTTATTCACAAATATTTAATCCATCCAATTACTTTTGAGCCTCTGAAGTGAAGGGATTGTGTTTAAAAGGTGCTTTAGTTCCTCTCATTTTTATGCAATCATTTTGTTCAAGCCACTGAAATAAAGCTGAAAGTCTGAACTTCAACTGCAGCTGAATTGTTTGGTTTTAAATTCATTGTGGCAATGTCTGGAACCAAAAGTAGAAAAAATGTTGTCTCTGTCCAAATATATATGGACCTAACAGTAATTCATCAAGTAAAGTAAAGATACTCAAAAAATGTACTTAAGTACAGTACTCAAGTAAATGTACTTCACTACTGCCCACCACTGTGTGTCCCTGTGATGGACTTGCAACCTGTCCAAATTGAACCCTGCCCCTCACACTGTATTTTGTTGATATAATATGTTTTATTATTTTTTTCCTCATCCAACCTTCTATGGTTTTTCGTTTTTCTTTTTAAAGGTAGCAACCCCTGCTGGTTGCTGCATGACCTGACCATCTGTTTCCCCATGTTTTTGTCGTGTGTCTTCTTGAATAGATGTTCTTAAATGTAATTTCATTGTGCTCCGTACAAAGTTGATAGAGGCAGGACATCCTTTCTGAAAATCAGAAATGCATCAATTTGTCTATAAAAATGCTTTATTAAATATGCTTTATTCTTATGCTTAAAAGTATCATTTCCTCAAATGATTTCTTGGAGGATCCATTCTTCATTCTTCAATAACTGCAGCTATTCTGATGCCCCCTGGACTACCGCCCTAGCAGGTCCAGTCTGGCTGTGTGTGGACAGAGCTGCCTGGAGTGGAGGAAAGGTAGAGAAAGTGTTTGAGACAACATGGCACCTCTGAACAAGAACATGCAGCATCACTACGTGGCCAAGTGTAACAGCACCTGCATGGGCTGAACCATTATCGTCCCAACAGCCCACTAACCCAGCAGTCCACCAGGGAAATCCCTGGTAGTCCCACATACCAGTCCACTCCTGGATAAAGGACCCATACATTTTGGTGTAAATGTTTTAGGACCGGGTGTCATTGTCACTGAGGGCCACATGAGTGTTATGGTGGCCAGTTACAGCCAGTGTCTGATATTGTTTTCAATGAACACATTTTAAATTTAGTTTTTAAATGTCATCTTCAGCAGATTAGCTAACCAGGATAAAGTCATCATAAAGTCTATGCTAACTGCTGCATTCAGAAATATGTAAA